CCATCCCCGTCCTGCGCCTCGGCGTCTGCGCCCTCGGCCCTGCGCGACCACGACAGCTTCTTGCCGCTCCACACGTAGCCATCCTTGCGGTCCGCGCTCCTGCTCCTGCTCGTCTTGGGCCTCACGTCCATGTTTTTATTACCGTTGTCACTACTTTCTGCCATTTTAACAGATCATCCCCAAATTCCAGCAGCGTTATAAATACTGCTCTTTCAGTTTTTCCAACAGGAAGCTTCTTCTGGCCACTTTCTGGGCGTATCTAAGGGGGAAGAAAAGTCATTAGCCTGGAGTTGTCCACTTTCCACGGTTTACAATGTGAAGCCCAATTAGACACAAGGAAAACATAACTACTACATGAACAGGGTCGGGAATGTGGACCAGGAAACGCCAAGCCTCTTCTCTTGGCCATCACTTGTGCCCCAACAGGGTAACTTCAACTCCTGAGTACCGTTTCTTAGAGGACCCGCTATTGTCCCCTCACTTCTTTGCCTTGCCACCATCCCTGATTAAAGCGCAGCAGGCTTCTTGCAGAAATGGGGCACCAAGGCCTTTCCCAGGAAGGAGCATTTATTGCAGAGCACAGGGTTCAGGCAGTTAAATTAACCCAAAAGGCTGGGCCCCAATGGTGACAGAGTTTTGCCTTTTATACATTTCTTGTGTCTGCCTCTAACACAACCCAGCCTGACTGGGTACAACCTATGTCAGAGCACACTGGGACGACACCCGTGTAGCTACAACTGTGCTGTGCTGCCTTTCTTAGTTCTGAGGGGGCCTCCCTCTGCCCCAGTCCCTCAGGAGGAGCCAACCACATTCTCCACTTTGAGGCTTGGACCCCTTATTTTGGGTCAGTGAGCATCATTATGTGTGTGGCCATCTTTCTTTTGAGCAAAACCTCAATGAGGCTGGAGAGACTGTAAGCAGGGAAGCTGGCAGGGTAGGATCAGACAAGCTTTCATGAAGAGCACACCATCTGAGGGGTCTGAATCTCCTGAAGGTTGAAAACCATCCTTTAATGTTCTGGGGTCCTAGCCTTTCCAGGTCTGGACTAGGATATGAGCAAATTTTTTTTTTTTAACCTAAAATGCGACATCTTCTGTGACTTATCATCTATCTATAGGCAGTGGTTGCTCAAGTTAAACTTTTCAAACTCCTCTGTCTGAGGTAGAAAGTAAGGCTAAGCAGTTTTGACAGACAGTTTTTTTTTGGGGGGGGGTACAGGGGATTGAACTCCAGCCCTTGCACTTTAAAAGGCAGGCAGCAGAACTGCTGAGCCAAATTCCCAGCCCCAGTATTGTGCATTCTGGTTTGCTGTTTTGTTAACAAGTTAAGGGCTTTGGCAGTTTCATTAGTTGTAATTTCTCCAACTGCTTGTAGACTCATTTTGTGGTTCAGCATGTAAACGGGGGTGCCATAGTCCCAAGACCATCTCTTGCCCAGGTAGCAGGGCCAATATTGGATCATAGGCTTGGGAGGCCATTCATCACCCTGTTAATTACCCATTTGTAAGGCATGCCGGTTTCTTTGTCCCCATACACCTGGACCCCCAGCAGCTCTCTCTGGGCAAGTGGCCTCAGGAAAAAAGATGGACAGATTGTTCTTAATACAGGACCCTGGCCAGTTGGCGAGTAAGTGGAGGCTGTTGGCCTGTAAGTCCAGTATAGTCTGTCTGGATCTCCCCATTTCACGGCCACGTCAGCACTGTTTTAAGTCTGAGATGGGAGAAGTTAGACAAGGGGCAGGGATCTGGCTCAAGATAAGCTGTGGACCCCCACCATTTGGTTTTCCAGGTGGGTAAGTTATAAAATCTTTGGCTCAGGCACATTAAGCTCTGACAGGACAGTGAGCCTATACTCTCCACTGGGCAAAGCAATTGTTTTTAATGACTGAGGTCTCGAGAGGCCAAATCCCAGTGGGGTACCCCATTATACTGTAAGATTCACGGGGATCTAATTCTTTAGACACCCCCCATGGCCACCAATCACATGTTGGTTCCCTCATGCAGACAGCAGGAGGAGATCTTTAGAGTATGGACTACAGTCTGCTAATGCGAGGAACAAGGTTCTGGTTGTGATGGAAAGAGGAGGGAGGCTATTTTTTATTTCCTCACAAAAGGCATGGAAAATCTGATGGGATGTGATTGAATGGGCTTGAATGGGTGGTCTTTTCTCTGCCCATGGACCGAGATGCGCCATTGCCATCTGGAATCTCATGGATTAATAGAGTAAATTTATAGTTACAGGCCTTTGATTGACAACCTGATGTAGCAGCTCCCTTTTGAGGGAGCACTGCTATGGCCTCTTTTTTCTCAAGCAGCCTATGAAACACAGCTCCAGCTGGGGCATAAAAACTCAGAGTCTAGGCAGGTAAATTGCCTTCCTTGCATGTGTACTTGTGACAGAGTTGGTGTTTTCACTTCCAATCTAGGCCTCCACAGGTGTAACCAGAGTCCTCAGCCCTCAATGGTAAGAGCTGGTTTCTTCTGTATGAGAGATGTCTCGGGCCAATACCTCTAACTGAACACACGTCTAAGTTACTGACACCGGTTTTCTGGGTTAGTAACTCATGTCCAGCTGACCAAAGTCCCCTTCTTCTTGATAGGATCAGACTTTTAACCAATCTTTTTGAGTCAGGGTCTAGGTATGTAGCCCAGACTGGCCTTGAACTCACATCGATCCTCCTGCCCTAGCCACCCCAAGTGCTGGGATTACAGGCATGCACCACCATACCCAGTTTATCAATCTTGAATGGGGGAGTGCTACAGTCAAAACAAGTACTTTGATTTTCCTGTTGGCTGGTAGAATAGGTAGGCTGTCTTGTTATGTGTGCAGGTTCCTGGGACCCTTCCCTGGCATGAGGAGTGGGTGTGGGAGAATAAATTCCAAGTAGCTCCCTGGCCTGACCTGGCTATTGGAATACATGTGGGTCACATGACGGGGCCCTCAGTAATGAACAGCCAATACCAGCAGAGCATATTACCCAAAAGAGCAAGGTGAGGCTATCAGGCACCTCTCGCCACATTTCTAGCCGGCTGGGGAAGTATCGGCAAGGGCTATGGCAAAAATCAGAGCTAGAGTCCCAAATACAGTTAAGAACCAGGGATTGCAGCACACAAGAGATGGCCAATCACAGAAAAGGGACATAGTTGGTGTGGCCAGTCGGTGGTGTCCTGTGGCCTTTGTTTTACATGAACCAGTCAGCCTCCAGTGACTCGGGCAGAGCTATTGTCTCCTGATGGTGTCTCTGAAGTCCAGGCCGGCTTTTTCAGGATTGTCAGCTTCATGCTACTGTGTGAATCTAGGGACAATCTCAGCCATAATGGTGAATTGGCCCCTCCAAAGGGCTTGGACATTTTTATTTGTACCTATACAGCATATCCTGGTTTAAAAGAGTGGGTATCCACGGTCAGACTCATTCTTTAACCCACTGCTGTACAGTGGCTATGGTTGAGCCTCTGGAGGCTGCAAGCTTTGCTTCCCAGTCTGCTTTAGTTTCCTTGAGCGGCCACGGTGTCTCCTTTCTGGTGTCACTGACAGTGCAGGACTGTGGCTCTATTAGGGGCCCATACAGCATCTAGGAGTTTAAGGAGTTCTCTACCATAATTATGTCTTTTACTTGAGTTTATTAGACTCTTTTCTTTGTACAGAGCCCTATGTACGTGGAGGATGGGGAAGGCACACTTGGAGCCTGTGTGTACTTTCTCGTGTACCCCTGCTGTCGGTTGGAGCAGGGTGATAAACTCTGCCTTTTGTGCCAAGGTCCCTTTTGGCAGACTTTGTCTCAATGCTGGAATTTAGGGTTACCAGAGAGTATCATCCAAGGCATTCTCCCTCTTTTATAAAATCGCTATGGCCAGTGAAATACTCAGCATCAGGCTCCTTCAGGGGCCAGTCTCTCCAGTCCAGTCCTGGTCAGGCTGGTGCCGCCCAACAGACAGCAGTTGTGAGGTTCAGGGTCCCCACCACTTCCAAGTGGATGTGCAGATTTTTACATAGCATCCCCCAATATCTAACCATCCTGGTGTTAGGTGGTCAGTATTGTCCTTTATACTCCATGAGTGTCAGGAGTGAGTGTGGCACTCAGTCAGTTCTTGTCACATAGTCAGTTTGTCAGCCTCTGCCACCGAGAGGGCTGCAGCTACGAGCACACACAGAGTGGCCAGCCCCGAGCGACAGAGTCAAGGTGTTTGGAGAGGGATGTCACCGGCCGATGCCACAACCCTAATGCCTGGTTAAAACAGCCACTGCTATGCTGGTAGGCCTGTGGCCGTGCAGGAAGGGTTGACTCATGTCTGGAGGCCCCACGCCTCTTGCTTTGGCGGGGCCTGTTTCATCTCTTCGAAGGCCCTTTGCCAAGACTGAGAAGTACCCAAATTCTACAAAAACCCGCAGCCCCCCAAGGAACTCCCAGACTTGGTGTCAGGTTGTGGGAACTGGGATCGAACAAACTGCTTGCTTTCTCTTGGACCCAAGTGGATGCTGTCCCTGTGGCAAATGGAAACTGAGGTATTTGACCCCCTCCTGGCAAATCTGGGTCCTTTCTACTGGAGCCCTTGTAGCCAGGCCCCCGCTGGAGAGTGAGGAGCTTTTCTCATGTAATCCTCCCACAACCTTCTGGTCAGCAACAAACTATCTGCATTCTGGAACAGGAACAGTCATGCTGATCTGCTGGGAAGTATCTCAGATCAGTGGCCAGCACTGGGGCAAAGACGGTCGGGGAATTTTTGAAACTTGGGGCAGCCTGGTCCAAGTCAGCGGGCCGTTGTCATCATTTTCTGGATTTTTTCCACTGGAAGGCGAAGACTGGCTGCCTCTGAGGGGTCAGGCAGATATAGAAGGCACCTCTGAGGCCCAGACATGTGCGGAAGGCAGCATCAGTGGGGACAAGACTCAGGAGTGCTGAGATTTGAGACAGCTGGGTGCAATGTGACGTAGGCCTGCTCTACTGCTTGCAGATCCAAATCAGCGGTTATGGTCTATGCCTGCCTCCTGGACTGGCAAGAGGAGTGTCCTGGGGTAACTGACAAGTTTCTGGATCCCAAACTGTGCCTTGCAAGGGATGAATTAACTGCTTTTGGTGAACTGGCTCTGTCAGGTATGTTCCAGTCCAATCTGGTGGGTTATCTTTTGCCCCTACACCAGCTGAATTGAAAGTCATTTGGGGCTGCAGCTTTTTCTACCAGAACTCGATCCATTAAAGCCACAGGGCAGTCAGGGAGGTATAGGAACTCACGGATGACATTATGGTCAGCTAAAACGCATC